TCTCTCTCTCTCTCTCTCTCTCTCTCTCTCTCTCTCTCTCTCTCTCTCTCTCTCTCTTGTGCGAGCTCTTAGTCTCATTGATTTGGCTACCTTACTAGGGCTACGTACCCCGCGCCCACGCAGTAGACAGTAGGGTTGGGGCCGCCAGTGGGGGTTTAGCTAACACAAAGACTGAGATCTGTCAGTAGTTGTGCCTCCCTTTCTCATCGTCCCCCACCCTTCATAGAGTAGCAACAGAGGCTATGGCCAACACTCTCCCACACACCACACACAACCCACTCGCACTCACACTCACACCCGTGTTGGTTATAGCCCCCGCTAATATTGATCAGGGGTATCCAGAGGAATATCACAGTCCGTTGGCACTAAGTGCGCCGCAGGTGGTCATGGGGCTTGAACCCACAACCTCCTGAATGCCACTTGCATGCCTAACCAACTGAGCTAGGCTGCTGGATATTATTATGTTTTTGGTCCCCGTCCTTTTTTTTTTCCATACATATAACCGGCCTACCGAGAAAATGACGGGGGTACCGAGGGCCAAGTCCCACTAGTAGTGTTGAGCTACCTCAGCGCCTGAATCTGGACGCTTTTGCGGAGATGTACGGAAATCGTGTTGAGTTTCATGAACTGCTCGTCGTTCAGATTCAGGCGTTGAGGTAGCTCAACGCTGCTATTGGGACCTGGCACCGGGGGACTCAGGGGGAACAAGGGGTTTTTTTAATTGGAAATGAATTTATTTTTATTTTTATTTTTATTTCCAATACAGAAATGAAATTTGAAGATGGAGTTGAGGGGAAAAAAAAAAAAAAAAAAAAAAAGTCTCTGTATGGAGGCAACAGAGCAGTCATCTGTATCGCAGTAACCCATCTACGGAACACATCTCATTATTACCTCATCAGGAAGTGAGAGAGTCCTCACAGTGACTGGCCTCTACAACACCATGGACAAAAAAAAAAAAAAAAAAGGAAGTGAGAGAGTCCCACAGACTATCAACAAACAAGAGAGACAAGTCATAACATGGTTCAAGGGCGGTACCCCATTTAGGGATTGGGAACTGGGGGGATGAGGTCAAGGTGGGATGGAGGATTACGGCAGAGACCTCTGAGGTCTCGGCCATTCCTCTCCCAAGTTACACTTCTCAAACGAGATACAAGCTCTTTTCCAAAGCATCTTCATTGCAAATTAATGTTTGGAATTATTGGCGCAAGTCCCCTGCCTTTCAGTTATCAAACCCAATTCCAACCTGGGTGCAATTTTACATCATACTATTTTTTAGTACACTAAAATCAAAGGTCGCAGGTTTACAGTGGTTGCACATGCACAACTGTGTACCCACCGCAGCCTGGTGTGCGAGCAAAGGTATGAATATCCTCACCTCATGCGACCTATGCCCATACAGCTCCTTCGAAAACTCCTCCCACCCCCTCTAGTGGGAATGTGTTGCCAGAGGATTCTGGGACTGGGTACTAGGTAGAATGTGGTTTGCAGCATATCAAGACAATGTCATGCATTTCCGGACCAAGGACTTCATCTTCTTCGGAGATCATGGCAATAGCCCAAGAAGCGGGATAGCGAATAAAAATTCAGAGTTTATGGTTTTTGGGTCCTCTGGTTGGTCCATAGGGATCGTAGGTTTTGCGGGATCTCATGGTCAATTCCAAGGATCTGGAGCAACTTCAAGTTTAAGTTATCTGTTAGAAATCTGATTTTGGCAGAATATGGGAAGAAGAAAGCAGAGACTGCCTTGATAGATCTGGCTCAGTCCTCCTTTTTGAAAGCTCAGGCCTCAGAATACAAGTGGGTTTCACTCAGTGAGAACAATCAGGTAATTTTTCTCGTTACTTGTGGGACGAAAAGGACGACTTGGTTCTCCCACAAGACACTTTGGCAGTATGTTTTTGGTGTACAGTCATGATAAAAGGGACGCTGAACCCGTTTTCCAGCAGGTGCAGCTCCCCACCAATAGAATGAAGTTAAAAAAATAAAATAAATAAATAAATAAATAAAATTGCGGTTTCGCCCCTAGAGGATGGCGGATTTAAGAATAACCCTAAAATGCCCTTTTGTACTTTCATCTTCGCGTTCTACCCCTGTCCGACGGGAACGCTAAATTTGCGCCCTGCCCCTATCCCCAGACGACCAGGCCTGCACCCTACGGGGTTGCCCAATTTTGTCGTATGCCCCCATGATGGATGAACAATACCTGCCACCAATGTCCCAACACTACCTCCGAGTCTGCCAAGGTGTGACGAGCCAGCGGTCTGCGGTGCGCAGATCTCTGTACCCTCCGACGATTATTTTTCAAAGAAGGGTTGTATACTCTGTTCTTTTGGGCTTTTTGAATCATGAGCTTGGTGCATTTTTTTTAAATGTCCTTGGAATGTGTATTTTCATGCAGTTGTGATATAACTCTTGTGCGCCTTAGTGAGCGCGCCAATCCTCCTTCAAACTTTTTACGTCGTTCTGCTTTTTCACTACCGGATTCGCCCAAATAGAACCCCCAGTCATTATAGTTGTATTTGATGTCGCTTTCAGTCTAGATATGACCATAATTATCGGGCGTTCTATTCGGGTGAAGACGGTAGTACTTCATGTAGCTATTTTTGCATCTTTTAATTCTCGAGGGAGCATCCTCTGCGCTCACACATTTGCAAGTCATCTTTTAAGCGCTCTTATTCCTTCTTTGTGTGTTTTTTAACCATTGCAACTATTTTTTGCCTTCCTCCTTCTCGTTGGATTTTGGTATTCATTTGCGCCATCTTGTGTAACTTCCTCTCCCGACCTTATTCAAACTTTGGGATGACCTTGGCGAAACGACGTGGCCGTAGAAATCAGATCACGGTGTCGACACAAATGCACTTACAAGGGTATTCGCCCTGGTTTTTGCAAATGACAGAAAAAGAAGTTTGACTTGAAAAGTTGGGTGCGCCTTGCGAGTCACGACCGTAATTTCTCTTAGGCTAGTGGAATGTTTGACAGAAAGTATGGAGTGTGTGGACGCACGGTTTTGAGGCGCGCTTGATTTTCTCGTTTTTAATGTTATAAAGACGACTCAGTTATTGGTCAACTTTTATTTCCGTTTAATTTAGGAATAAGTGGTTTTTCACTTTTTTTCAGCATATCTGACCATAATGCGTATATGCGCGTGGAGGATTGCATTGCTATGACAGACGTCAAGTCTTACTACCGGCGCCGTGAATTTTTTTTTAAGTATTCACCCTTATTTTTATTTAAGGAAACTTTGGAGGCCGTATAGTACGTGGCACATTAAGGCAGTTTGTGATGTTTGCCCACTGACAAAATATTTTTTCATGGTCTCGGTAAAGACAAACATAAATGAAGGTTGGCATATATAAAGTTTGAGTTTTTTGCTGCTGGGAAGGAAAAGGCGCGGCTTTGGGGTAAGAAATGGTGCTTACGACAGTTATGAGCGGAGCCAGGCCCTTCGTGTGGTGAGTGACGGTGTTTGGCGGCCGTAGGTTCGGGTTGGTGGGCCAAGACGTGGCCGTGGAGCATTTTGGTGAGGCCATAAAACGTGCAGTAGCCATTTATATGGGTTACCGCTAGTGCTAATATCAGTTTTGGGAAGAACAGTATTGGTTATAGTGTCGGATGTCTATGCGGCAGATAAAGGGATCGAGTCCAAAGATCCGCGACGAAGGAGCAGTGTAGCATCTTGAAAGAAACTAACGGGTTGAGGGCCCAGCTGGGTTATCCCCCTCAGTTTTGCTGCCGACTTCGATAGTGGGTCTAACGGGAGGGACCGAGGAGGTGCCATAACTTGAAGTCTCTCTCCCTCTCCTTTGATGTCTCGGTCCTTTCCAATTCTTTTCTTTTTTTTATGATTATTTACTGATTTTTATGAGGTAGA